GAAATCTCTATACTTCAACATTGGCTCTGTCTGCCTTACTGAGTGATACCATTGCGTTTGCGTATGCCAAAGTCTTTTTCGCTGATCTGGACCGATGCCCTCTCTTTTTGGAGGAGGGTCTTTCCGACAAAACCGTACCCGATGGCTCACCCAAATATTGCTCCTGCACCGTTGGGAGAGGAACATTTTCGTTTGACTGGGCTTTCTTACTCGGAGTACACATCACCACTGCACCGTTGGAGAAGAACATTCTCATTAGACCGAGCTTTCTTACTCGGAGTACACATCACCACATTCTCAGAATCCTTCTGTGGGTCAAAATGAATGGAACCTTCTTCGAATAGGCCTGCGACTGCAAAGTCCAGGTCATCCACCGCATATTCCTTCACTCTCATAGCATTCCATTGCACCTCCTCATGGGATTTTGTGAGGGCGACCTCCTCCTGACCCTGATCCTTACCATCGTCCTCGGATCCCAACGATTCCAAGGAGATCAGATGGTCAGGATTATCGCCCGCCTGCTTTGGAACTCCGTCGGCATCTGCCTCCTCGTCCAGAGAGGGAACAGGGCTGCACACCGAACCCGTCTTCTCAATGGTGTTTTTACGGGCTTCCCTTCTTCTCAATGGTGTTATTACGGGCTTTAATTCCCTTAGCTTTCGATTGTCCACCAGCAAAAACAAATTGAGCTGGGGGGATCTTTGCAGGCCAACCTTTCTGCCCCAGCCCACCTTCGTGGGAGGAGGTCCTTTGGATTGAATGTGTATGATCCACTTTCGCTTCATCCTCCAGTGGTTTATCTGTCCCTGGAGACATGATCCGATCTGCTCTTATCGCCAGCGCTTTGAAGAGGTTCAGCCCAACCTTTCTTACCCTTCTTCTTCACCTTCTTACCTCTTTCTTTCATCCTCCTGTGTGCCTTCTCCTTCCCTATGTCTTTTCTCCTTCCTCCATCCCCTCCTTATCCTTCTCCTTCCTTTTCTCCTTCTCCTTCTCCTTTTCCCTATCTTCTCCTTCTCCTTCTCCTTTTCCCTATCTTCCCTGTTTCCTTCTCCTTATCCTCCCCCCCTTTGTCATCCTTTTCCCCATCCTTTTCCCTTCCTCTTTCATTGTGGTCATCCCCATCCCCTCCGTCACCGTCGCCCTCCGGCTCTTTTGTTGACTTGCCTTGTTTCTTCGGACAGCAGTCATCCATGGATTTGTGGAAGTGTCGGCGGCATGCGGCACACCAGGGAGTAGACGCACATGCTATCTTGATCTCCATGAGGCCGAATTCCCACAGATCCACAATGATCCGCTTCCTATATCGAAGTTTGGCCTATGGGCCAAGGTCGAAGTGTACATCAAGTCAGGGTTCAGGGGGTACTTATATGGAAGAAAATATTTAATAACAGGAGCAAACGCATCCTTCACAGCACCCTTCAGCGGTCCCATTGCCAAGACAACGACATCTAGACAGCCTATCCAGATTCATGGCCTCCCTCCACTCAAGGAGTTGCTGTTCAGACATCCAAGGGCAGAAGTGCACTGTGTGGGCTAGCTTGTCCAGCTCAATTTTATCTTCGTTTTTGAAGTTCTTTCATGAACATCCACGAGGCGATTTTTGCTTGGCCGAGGCCACTTATGTGACCAAATTACGGCCCTCGCTTCGGGAGACTCCACGTTTGCACTGGGCACCTGTTGCCCCTCACACTGCCCACCCATTCTCATAAATCTGGACCAATCTACTCTTGACGTCAACTGGAAGGCACGTGCAATCATGATCAAAAAAGACTGACACCGCATGATTGTTCAGCCAATCTGCCTGTACGCAAGCAAGATCTCGGTCAACGACAACCCCAACAAAGTCCTCTCTTACATGGAAGAATTCCATCATTCAAACTCGTGCACTCAGCAGATCGTGAATCGTAATCTTATCAGCGTCTGAGGGCGGGGAGGACATCGAAGCGGGAGTAGAAGACGAAGCTATTGTGACAAGAACCGAAGACCATAACCAAAATAGAATAAAACTCAAAAACCACAGACATAACTAAGGACTCCTCTCAGGTAAATTGCAGTACAGGGAGCCGAGGCCAAGCATACCCTCAGTTTCCATCCACCTGACGTCACGTAGCACGTTGAGATAACCCTCCACCCAGCATGAAATCGTCCTCTCTCTCTCTCTCTCTCTCTCTCTCTCTCTCTCTCTCTCTCTCTCTCTCTCTCTCTCTCTCTCTCTCTCTCTC